CAGCGTTCAGTGTACGTGGTGATGACAATATTATAACAAAGTCGCACATATGTAGCCGTCATTTCCTTCTGTAGATATACCACGGGTAAGGGAGCTAGTGCTGTTGGCTTGACGGCATCAGTTCGTAAGGATTACCAGACTGGGGAGTATACACTTGAGGGCGGTGCACTGGTACTGGTACCACCCCTATTGCTCTAGTCAACGCGATTGAGAGCTTGTTGTTATGAAGTAAAACTTGGCAGGTGCTAGCTGACAGTGGTATATGCCTGATCGATGAGTTTGATAAGATGAATGATGCTGATCGTACCTCCATCCATGAGGCTATGGAGCAGCAGAGTATATCTATATCTAAAGCGGGTATTGTGGCATCCCTCTCAGCCAAGTGCTCAGTCGTAGCAGCTGCTAACCCTGTCGGAGGTCCGTACAACTGTTGAGCTATTCCCCCAATTCATTCGTCCTATTTATAGGTCGATATAACCCTAGTCTTACCTTCACTGACAATGTAGACCTCACGGACCCCATCTTATCCCGTTTCGATGCTCTATGCGTGATACGAGATGAGATAGATATATTCCAAGATGAGCGTCTGGCTGACTTTGTCGTCTGTACCCATATGCAAAACCACCCTCGTGAGCCTAACGACAACGTGAGGCCTCGGAACCAGGAGACGGAAGCACTATACGAACCCATCGATCAAGACCTTCTGAGGAAATATATCCTCTATGCAAGGTAGGGCGGTCATCATGTATACTGGGAGCAATTACGACTCATCTGATACTGCTGTTGCTGTATAGGACGAGCGTCTTCCCCAAGATATCAGACGTTGATGCGGACAAGCTGGCTAACTTCTACAAGGAGATTAGATCAGCTGCCTCTGATAGTCACGGGCTTCCGATGACGGTAGGTGTTGATGATGACCTCAATCATTGATGATAGGCCATTCGTTCTATCGTAAGGTAAGACACATAGAGTCGATGATCCGTATGGCTGAGGCTAGTGCTAAGATGGAGCT